GTGCCGCGGCCGGGAGCTTCTTGTTGCGTGGGCGTCGCTGGGCCTCGACGTCGTCCGTCGCGTCCGTCCGCCGCGCGTAGCGCGCAGTGCATAGCGCGTCGTCCACGCGCGCGTCCCCGCCGCACGGGTCGCGCCGCTGCGCCGGCCGCGCCGCGATCGTCCGCGGCGGCGTCGAGCTCGTCGAGCGCGGCGCCGCGCCGCGGAGCTGTTCCAGGCGTCGGACCGCGCCGACGTCTGCGTCGCCGGTCGCGCGCTCGCGCTCGCGCTCGCGGTGCGGTGCCGACCGATGCGCGGCGGCGGCGGCGCGCGCGCAGCGGTCGATGGTGATGTGCGTCGCCTCCGCTGCCTCCACGACGCCGCGCGACGCGCCGTGCGACGCGCCGCGCGACGCGTTCCGTCGCAGCGACACGTTCGCGCAGCGCTGCGAGGCGCGTGCGGTGTTGTTGGCGCTCGCGCGCCGCGCGGCGGTGGCAGCCGACGACGGCAAGAGGCGGTGTTCTCTTCACAGAGCTCTCCGACGTGAGATCTGCCTCCTCGAAGCTCGCTGTCCGCGACCGACTCAGACAGCTCGTCGTCCGCCTCGCCGACGCATGTACCGCGAGTCCATTGCCATGCTTCGCGCCTTCATCCACATGATGGCTGCCGCGGGCCTCCGCGGCGTCCTCAGCGTCCCCGACGTGCAGAAGCTGCACTACGAGGACATCGTCATCAAGGTCGCCTGTGTGGGCCACTACGACCCGGACATCGGCAACAACACGGGGCCCTACACGCACCTCGGGAACATGTGCGTCGACTACATCTTCGACGGCCAGTTCCACGCCTGCGGCCACGGCCCAGCACCCGGCATCTTCTTCTCCGACATCTACCCCATCGCGCTCGCGAAGGCGGACCCGCTCACCGGCCGCCGCTACACGCGGGCCGAGCTCAAGGCCCAGTTCGAGCGCAAGATCCGCGCCAAGGGCCTCGACCCCGACGACGTCCTCCGCCAGTACTACGCGTGCATCGACAAGGTCATCGAGGAGGCCGGCATCCAGCACGTGCCTCGCTTCGCCTACGGCCAGGCCGCCTTCGACCACCTCCAGGAGCGCGGCGTCGGCGTCGTCCGCCGCATCATGCACCCCGAAGGCGCGAAGAACCTCTCCCACGGCGAGGCGGCCAAGATCATGGAGGCCGTCGCCAACGGCGAGGAGGCCAAGAACTTCTTCGGCATCCCGGGCCTGCCGCTGTGCGAGGAGTCGGACGCGTCGACGTCCGAGCTCTTCAGCATCCTCTGGGACATCGAGATCAGCGTCATGTTCTACGTCGACGCCTTCAACGGCCAGGCCGACGCCATCAACGCGCTCCGCGAGCTCCAGTCCAAGGCCCAGAAGGCGTTCTGGGAGCAGCTCTCGACGGGCAAGAAGATCCGCCGCCTCTCGACGCTCTGCGCGGTCGACGCGGACGCCTTCTTCGACGCGATGCAGGTCGAGCTCAAGGACGACGCGGCGCTCGAGGAGCTCGACTACGCCCAGTTCCGCACCTTCCTCGGCGTCCACATCAAGGCCGCGTGGGACGCGCTCCCGGAGAGCCAGAAGATCCGCAGCCTCGCGACGCTCAACAAGGCCGGCGCGGACTTCGCGCGGGCCTACGGCGTCGACCTCGCGGACGACGAGGCGCTCGCGGGCATCGGCTACGCCGCCTTCAAGTCGTTCCTGTCCCAGTTCTGCAAGGACAAGTTCGCGGCGCTCCCGGAGAGCCAGAAGATCCGGCGCCTCGCGACGCTCCACAAGGCCGGCGCGGCCTTCTCCGACGCCTTCGGCGTCGACCTGGACGACGACGAGGCGCTCGCGGGCCTCGACTACGCCGCCTTCAAGTCGTTCCTGTCCCAGTTCTGCAAGGACAAGTTCGCGGCGCTCCCGGAGAGCCAGAAGATCCGCAGCCTCGCGACGCTCAACAAGGCCGGCGCGGACTTCGCGCGGGCCTACGGCGTCGACCTCGCGGACGACGAGGCGCTCGCGGGCATCGGCTACGCCGCCTTCAAGTCGTTCCTGTCCCAGT